TCACTTCTATATAAACCAGCATTCTACCAGCAGAAAAATGAATAAATCATGGTTTGTGTTCCACCTCTAAAATCCAGTCCCCACATCCACAGTACAACAGCCTTCATCCTTTGTCTCTGATTCTGTAGACACAACCTGTGCTTCGTCTTGCTGGTTGACCTGGTGATCCAGAAGGCTGGTTGTTCAGCTGTCCTGAGAATGAGTGAGAAACATGAACTTTACCTCTTTCCCTCAGCTGCAGAACACCATTTGGATATTCCCTATGTGCCCATTCACTGATCTTGAGGAAAGCTATTGTGATTTTCACCTTTGAGATTTCTACTTCTGCCACAAATACAGCAGAAAATAGCTAATGGGTTTTGAAGTCACTAGTGTGAGAAATGACACTCACTTTTAAAATTTCAAAGGTTTATTAAACCTTAACAAAATACAGCAAAACACTAAATAAAGAAAAATTACAGCGCTGGGAGCATGGAACTAAACCGCCATGTGCTCACCCACAAAATGGCTGCTCCACCTTTTATACTCCTGGTGTAGCATCAGGTAACCCTAACCTGTCCCAAAGTCAGTCAGTCAACTCTTCTTCACTGTCCATTGTAGGAGACTAATTTCTTGCAATTTGATTGAAGGTCAGGTGTTGCCATGCCATGCCCCCCCAGCAACAAGCCTGCCCTCCCCCCAAATGTCCCAACTACCAAGGCCATCCTGTGACAACAATAAAATGGGAGGAGAAAGAGGACTATGGGGAGAACATATCACAATAACATGACTATACATCAATAACATTTCTCTTAGCATACTCATAATATTCATCCCTTAATTGTGAGAGCCAACCATTGCATTACTCATCTATAACACTAGGAAAGAAATCAGAGAGAGATAGAAATGGGCAGAGAGAATTAGTCCACCATTTTATTTATTGCCACGTATTGAACATATATAGTCTACTTTGCAACAAAAGTGGATCCCAGGAAGAAACCTCTTCTCAGGAGTTTAGGATTGTTACAGGTAAAAATGAAATATGCCCAATTCTAATAAAAACAAAAAAGAATTTATTCGTGACTGTGATACAGTCCTGACAGCCAACAATCAAACTGACAGCACAACACCCCCAGGAGATAGGCTGGGTGAACGTGGATTTGGCCTCTATCGCACCAAATCCCCCTCATCCACACTGGCTGTTCTGAGGGAACAGTTCTTATACTCTTTATTTCACCTGCGGCAGAGTAGAATTACTAACTATACCCCTAACCGGATGAACTTTGAGTTTGTCATTCTGGCTTGATTTGAGGCAATTTAAAGGAGAATACTCTGGAATTAGTTGTCTACCTTTATAGGTTCTAACAATCCAATAAGAAACAGAGATGAGCAGATAACTGAAAAAATAACAGTTTACTAACAAGCAACAACAGGCAAAAAAAGCAAAGAGATTCAAAATTTCTAAATCTCATGGACTGCCCCCAGAATGAAAAGACACCCCAAAATGCCGGCCACACACACACACACACACACACACACACACACACACACACATTCACCAAGATGGTGCTCGGCAATCCAGTGTGTGGTTCGAAGGACAAAGGGAAAGGTGATGTCAGTGTTCCTCCCACCCCCCTTCTCTGCCTCCCTGACAACTAGAGCTCTGACTGGTGTTCTCTGGGTCAGGGCACTAGAACTCATGGAAGGACTTTGCCTTCCTTGCAGCAAGAGACTGTTAAAAATAGGCTAAAAACTGTTGCAAAGTAGTTGATAGATCGTTAAGCATGTACTGTTGGGTTGGTTATTATACTGTAAAAGGGGTTAAAAGGGTCATTATAAGAAATACGGTTCTCAGCCTACCATAACACACCTCAGTAAAGTGCACCACCCCCCAGGTGAAACGAGCCAGCCTGGACAGAGCTGTAATGGGCCAATCAAGCGCCTTGAACCTTCATGCAAATGAAGGATCCAAAAAGAAACCAATCCAAAGGGACAAAAACAGGATACAAAGGGGCTTCTAACCCACTAAATTGTGTGCCACTCCATCTGGGACATCGGGGACATCGCGACATCGCTGCTCAAGAAGACCCAGCACCGGTTCTGCAGCGTCCTCGATGGGAACGCTCCTGCTTGGCCCACGGGTCCCCTTGCTTTAAGCCTTTATTTTTTCTTATAATAAATGCTGAAATCACTTTAGTACCGGGAGCCTGCTCTGGTTTTTAACAGAGACAACAGGGCAGGCAGGGCAAGGTGGCTGGGCTGGGTTTTCTGTCCTCAGCCAGGAAACAGATGATCCTTTGCAGCCCTAGCATCCCTGCATGAGCATCCTCTGATGACATGCACATGTCCATACTTAAGCTTTCCTGATCCTCTGAACTCAATAAAGCTGCTTATCTTCATAGAAGTAAAACGAAATATCTTCATTCCCATTTGACAAATTTGGTTGAAGCTGATTAAGATGTTCAAAAGTATTAAGGGAAGGGATTGACTGGCAGCTCCCTTACAGAGAGTTAATTTCCCTAGTGTTGGGGGTTAGGTTTTCATTTTTTTTCCTTTAGGGAATTTTCCTCCATTTGTTGTCATAGAGATGGTGAATGGACCTCGATTTAAAAGACAAAAGATGTAGCCAGGGCCTTGGCATAGCACTGGAATGGTTCTGGGGGAGGGGGAGAAGCAGAGTGGTGCTCGGCAGTTTCTTAGCTGGAGGTGGTTCAGTCTTTGCTGGTTGTAGGTTTTGGTGCTGGACTTGTCCAGCCCAGGGGGACTCTCTGCTACTGCTGAGCCTTCCTTGCCATTTCTCCTTGCCTTTGGTGGGCCCCTGCTCTCAGGAGTGACTATTGCACTGGGACTTTTCAGCACCTGCCGTTGCTGGGAGAAAGATCCTCACCATCTGCCTGGATGTCTCAGGGGAAAAACAAGCCCCCATCTCCTCTCTCTCAGGAGAGAGCACTGCGGCTGCTTACTGGAGCCTCGGCTTCTGGGATGTGTGACAGCCGGGGGAAAACAGAAACACCCCTCGCCCTCCACATTCTCACTCCTCCCTGCGCCACTATTGAAGCAAGGGCGACTCCGACAAGGGGAGAGAGAATGATGCATCTGACTCCAACTTATCAGAAGGCTAATTAATTACTTTGTTATACAATACTATATACATTGCATCTAAACTGAATCTGCCATGCACACACCCTTGCTCACAACTGCACAGAACTGCACTCGTGACAGTCCGACAGGCCCTGATAGGCCAAGGGAACAAAACATCCTCACGCTGCGTAAACAATCTCCATATTGCATTCTACTTTGGCACAACACAGGCAGAGCAAGTGATAAGAATTGTGTTTTCCCTCTCTCTGAGGTTCAGGGAATGCGAATCTCAGAAATATTTTTGGGAAGAACTGTGCCTTGCTTTTCTCTATGAAGAGAATGTGGCAGCAGGCTGCCATTGCCCCTGCGGTGCCTCAGCGCTTGCTTGGAAGCCCCCGCCTCACACGGAGCCAGCAGCGCCCCCTGCAGCCGTGGGGGAGGCGCTGCAGCCTCTGCCTCAGCAGCAGCTGTCCGGGCCTACTGCCGCTTTTGATCCTAACTGCAACAAAGGGGAAATTGCTTGATGGGCAGGAAAAGGCAGGTTTGGGGAAATTTTTTCTGGTTTGTTGTTGTTGCTGTTGTCATTGATGTTTGCCTGCCTTGTTTTATGTTTTTATATATATAAATGTAGTATATGTGTGTATATATAAAAATATATATGTGTATTTCAGTAAAGACTGTTACTCCTTTTCCCTTATTTTTGCCTGAGAGCCCTATAATTTTGAAGTTATAATAGTAAGGAGGGGATCATATTTTCCCATTCTAGGAAGGTTCCCGCCTTCCTTGGTAGACACTTGTCTTTTAAACCAGTACACCTAGTAATACAGGCTGAAAATGAGTAATACAACCCAGAAGTAGTTAAGTGGAACAGGCAGGAGGGGCAGGCTCTGTAATTTAAAAGCGTTAATGCCTTGAAGCCCTGAAATTCAGACAAGAGCTTGGAGCAACTTGGAAGGCGGAAGGTATCTAGTGGACATTTGGTCTAGTGGAAGGTGTCTCTGCCCATGGAAAGGGGTTGGAATGAGATGAGGTTTAAGGTCCTGGCCAACTCAAACCATTCTGCAGTTCTGTGATTTTTCAAGGAAAGTTTACCCCTTTGTAGAGGGCTTGTATCAAGACTGGTAGGATAGATGCTGGCTTGCACTGGAGTTTTAAGGATCTAAATATTGTCTTGGTCTATGTCTGAGCACAACCCTCCAAGTTAGCAACACCTTTAGGGTTTCTCCTTCCCCATTCTCAGGTGAATGGTGAGCTTTAGAGAGAAATTGAAATGTTTTGCTTCAAACCTGGAAGGTTGTTGGTGTTGTATTGGGAAGAACTAAAAAACGGAAGTGAAGGAGGCCGTGGGTGGGAAGCTGGATGTGTCCAGAAGACATTGATCCACATTTTTAACTGTGTTTGGGTTTTTTTCTACCAGAAGTTTCAGATCTCTCCAAAATAAATAAAGATAGTGTTATTTTTTCCCTGTAATTCAGGAATTCACTATCAGTTAATAAAGGGAAGCCATAACTCAAAATATAGCTGATAAACTGCATTCCCTGCTCTGCTTGAGTTTACATCTTACTTGGTGTTTTGTTAATTAATTATCTGTTAGTCCCAATTATTTATCTGTTAGCATGGAATTAACAAAGCTTTTCTGTGTCATAGGTGCAATGTAGGTGGGATCATACTGATTTCTACTTACAGGCATGGCTAGGGGGTATCCAGGACTGGCTGACTTTAACGGACTACATTTCATTTGAATTTCTCACAATGTGTCAATAGGTTCTGGATGAGGTAAAAAATGAATTGTTGGGAGACAGTTTCTATGTAAATCTGATTGGATGGAGGCAAAATCCTTTCCACATAGACTTGGTTGATTAATGCAGGACTCCATTCCCATGTTATCATTGTTCTCCTGTTGGTTTAATTCCTGAACCCTTTTCCTTTTTGATCTGTAGAAATGAGTTCAGACCCTGGATAGATGTCAAGCCCGTGAAAGCGATAAAAGCAAAGCCCCAGTACAAGCCACCAGAGGAGAAAATGACCCATGAAACCAGTTACAGTGCTCAGTTCAAGGGGGAAACCAGTAAGCCTTCTCCAGCTGATAACAAATACCTGGAACGCAGAAGGATACGCACTCTCTACTGTGAACCCTACAAAGAACCTCCAAAGGTGAGAAACACGGCAGAAGGGACCCAGGGCCATTGCTGCTCCTGGTGAGACATGTCCAACACAGTAAGGCTGGGCTGTCACTCCCCTTATGTGGTATCCTCATTCCAACCAGCAGGTGCATCTTGAGATCCACCTTGGAGGTGGTGGTGAATAAAAAGCTAAACATGTCCCAGCCATGTGTGCTGCCAGCCCAGAAAGCCAACAGGGTCCTGGGTTGATCCCACATCATGAACAGGGAGGTCAGGGAGGGGATTCTGCCCCACTGTTACATTCTGCCCCTCTGCTCTGTGAGACCCCCACCCTCACTGCTGCCTCCAGCTCTGGGGTCCTCAGCATGGGAAGGACATGGATCTGTTGGACTGAGTCCAGAATAGGCCATGGAGATGCTCCAAAAGATGGAGAACCTCTGTTATAGAGACAGGCTGGGAGAGCTGAGTATGTTTAGCCTGCAGAAGAGAATGCTCTGATGAGACTTTGGAGTCCCTGTCAGTGCCTAACAGGACTCCAGGAGAGCTGGAGAGGGACTTTGGATGAGGGCCTGGAGGGACAGGACAGTGGAGAATGGCTTCACACTGCCAGAGGGCAGGGTTGGAAGGGATATTGGAAATAAATTCTTGGCTGTGAGGGTGGTAAGGCCCTGTGGCTGCCCCATGCCTAGACGTGTCCAATGCCAGGTTTGAAGGAGCTTGGAGCAATCAGGTGTAGAAGATGTCCCAGCATATGCAGGGAGTAGGGAGCAAGACGTTCTTTAAGGACTCTTCCAACCCAAACTGCTCTATAATTCTATGGGCTCTAGGAGAGCTTGAGGCACTTTGGGGACAATAGTGCTCTACGTCGAGTGATGGTAGAGCCAAGATGAAAAGGTTTTTCTGTTGTCATTTCCTATGTGATTATCCAGGCAGCTTTTTCTTCCTCCCTCCAAAACTTTAGGACCCCCACATTACATTTTTTGCTGTTAATTCAGAGCATTACACAGATTTTGACAATATGCACTTCTGGCTTTGATCAGATTAAGAACATGTGTAGAGAAGGGCCTGAGCTGAAATGTTTTCCAGCCTTATTTTCTAGGACCAACAGAGGATCTGCATATTAAAGGAGTCTGTCTGTGAAGTTTTAAATGGAGGACCATAAGTTGTTCCCTAAGTTGATGAGTGCTTACATCTGTGAGGACTAAGAGAGATTGTAGGGCGAGCATGTAGGAGATGAAGACTTCTGTTCTCCCTTAATTTTTTTTACCTGTCCTTCCTACTTTGGGGGTGTAGAAACAAGACATTGTGGAATTTTCTCATGTGCCAATTAGTGTTCTGCACCTCAGGTATCCCAAGGTAATTTTCCTCCATTTTGGGAATCTGTTAAGGACAAACAAACAGAGGAGTCCTCTCCTGCAAGAAGGATGGAGATTTATAGCAGCCTCTTTGTCCTGAGCACCATTTCTCTGCTTCTAGTCCAGAGAGAGAGAATCCTCTGTGGGTTTGCAAAACCCCTCCTGAAGTCAGAGAAAGATGCAGAAATTGATAAAATGACCAATAATATTCCTTCTCCTATTCACCCTGCTCTATCCTGATCTGGATACAATGGGCTCTGCTGGCTTCAGGGGCACTGACTTCAGGGCATCCTCAAAGCAGCTGGCCATTTGCAACTCAGCATAAGCTCAGCTGGTCCCCTGCCTTTGTGGCAGGGCAGAGATGAGCAGATAAGTAACATTTGTGCTGTTTCAGATCTGAATCCTGTTTTCCGCTTGTCCTTGTGTCTCTCCTTCTCTCTTTCTCCCTCTTTCTCTCTCTTTCTCCATCTCTATGTTGTTGTTTTCCCTGTCGCCCTCCATGCAGGTGGAAAAGCCTAGCATAAAGCCTTCCAAACCAAAAAAGACCACAACAAGCCATAAACCCCTGAAAAAGGCCAAAGACAAGCAGATTGCATCTGGCCGGGCTGCCAAGAAAAAGAGCGCCGAGACCTCCAACACTGCAAAGCCAGAAGATAAGGAGAAAAGTAAAGAGATGAACAATAAACTGGCTGAGGCAAAAGAGTAAATGTCACTGCACTTTCTTTCTCATTTTTTTCCTTTTCTTTCCTTCTTCCTTCCTTTTTTCTTTTTTTTCCCCTTTGATTAAATAAAGGCCACAAAATTAATTAGAGGCTTCTAATCTGCTTTTTGTTCTGACTGTATTAGAAGCTTTTCTGTTTTATTTCCAAGGAGGATTAGGAAATCCTTGTTTCTGAGGTCAGGTTGTTCTGCTTTGCCTGCACAACACGGCTCTGCACAGAGTGAGGGATGTGAGAGTGCATAAGCAGGGTCCTAAGAGATGAAGGTGATGGATCAACAGTGATTACATCCAACAGCTTGTCCCTTTCCTTGGGCTTGGTTCTTCAGTGCTTTGACAGCATGGAAGTGCCCATTGAGCCATGGAGGGGCTGTGCTCTCATCCCATGAGGCCCTTTTGGGTTGGCCATTGTTGTGTCATCTCCCACTAGTGTCAACAGGGAAAGGGGTTTGGAGGCAGAGAGGATCAGGTTCATTCATGGTGCCATGGATATGCTGTAAATACACCAAAATCAATGGTGTGGGCCAAGAACGATTTCCCCTTTTGACACTGATGGGAATTCTGCTCCAAGAAGCAACAGGAAAGGAGATCCCATGGAACTAAAGGGCCAAATCCTCCCCAGGGGTAGCTGGGAGTACATCTAGCTGCATCAAGGCAACTTCACTCATCATTCCACTTGAAGGCCTTGATTTAAAAAAAAAAAAAATTTGTGAGGGAAGGTGCAGTGAGCAGTGAAGACTTTCCAATCACATGGCAGGTTAGACTAGGTTGTCAGCAGGTTGTTCTTCCCTATTGTTTCCCCTTAGTTATGGATCTTATAATTATTCCTGTTTTGTTTTAAATCTTGATCTGCTTTCTTCACTTCTGGGATGCCAATAGGCAGAGCTAGGTTTCAATAAGTGGTTTAGTTTGCAGGCATGACCTTCTGAGGGGTAGAAAGAAATGTGTCACCAAGGTTGGCTAGAGCTGTCAGCCCCCGTTGTGTCTATTCTTCCAGCTGTTTGTGTTCATGTTGGCTCATGAGCAACTCATGAGGGCCATAAAAAAAAGTTTCTGGGATCCCTAGACTCCCTCCAGACAAGATCTCAGGGTTTTAGTCGTATTTACTGTGCTCTTACACTAGGAAATCCCCAGGACCAGTTTGGAAGCCCTTAACACAGCAGGACCATTTGTCAGCGATTATGAACTGGCCCAACAGACTGGTATTGCATGCCACAGAATCTGGGTCACTGGATCAGTGGGAGAGTTGTGGTCCCAATCCAAATTTATGTGCCTAACTTCCGGATTGGGTCCTAAATACATAAGGATTAATTTTTATCCCACCAAATGGAGCTGTTAGACTTTCCCATAGCAGAGTGGCTGCAAGTTAAGATGCAGTTCCTTATATTTGCAGCTCCAAATTTTCTCTCCTAATATGAAGTCCAGCTTGAAACTTGCAGTGGATAATTGGGAAGCATGAAGACAGAGATGGGAAGTAGAGTGGGGAGGTGGTGTGTTGCTGTAGAGGTGGTGGAATAAGGAAAGTCTTATTGCTTGGGGTATTTTAGAGATGTGAAGCTATCTAGCAGAAAAATGGATGAGTTGGGAGGGTGAGGAGTCCCTTTTTTGGGGTTTCTTCCTATTAGAATTAGTCTTTTGGAAACGTAAATGAGTGGTGGGCTACAAGGTTGAGTGAAAGTTTCCAGTGAGGAGGAAAGCTCTGTGATTAACAGATAATGACATTTGCTGGCCTTAGTAATGAATAAATGCTAAGTTCAGTGTATCATGTGATGTGTCCTGTTTGCCTTGCGCTAACAGCCTAAACCTTTGAGTATCAGTAAATGTAGTGTTCTGAATTCAGTGGTGTAATTCCAAGCTTAGCTGTGTTAGACTGTGTGCTATGAGCTAGTCAGGTTGTGTATGTGGAAAATATATATTCATATATAGAAATATATATATATATTTAAACCTCTGCTGTTTAGGAGGAGACCAGGGAAAATCCTCCAGGAAGTAAAACTTTGTGAATGTAGTGGTTTTTTTTTTTTTTTTTTTTTTTTTTTTTTTGATATGCATGCCTCATGGAGATGCTGACCTGTCCATATTGATCATTGCTTTTCTGAGTGCTCAGAAGCCCTGCAGCACTGCTCAGCTCTGTGTCCAGAGCAGCTCGGCAAAAGGCTTGTGTTGAGCTCGCGGGGAGGCATGCTGCTCACAGCTCTTCCAACCTGTCACATAAGGGACAACTGGCCAGAGAAGAGCAGCTCCCAAGACTTGGTGTGATTCCTTGTCTTTTGAGATGTTTCATGTATCTTCACACTCGTCAGTAATGTCCTTCCTTACAGGATGTAGCATAAGCTGTGAAGATGATATGTCACAGCAGGCAGAACACATCAGGAAGGCACTAGACAGTTCAAATAGCTTAACACACCAATCTTTTCTTATTACTCCAATAAGGACAGACCATGCAAAACAATTCTTCCTATTATTTTTCAGCCCTAAGTTTCACATTTAAAGATACACCACACTTGCTACCATTTCACCTGGAATTCAATGAGAATTCAGCCCTTGACTTCAAGGTGAACTAAATTTTGACCAAGGAACATCACTAAGATGCTCAGACCACCTAATCCAAGCATCTCCATGGCTCTGGAGGAACTGCTGATTATCCAGCTTGGGATGGTTTCTTCTTAATGAAGAGCATCTATCACAGTGTTTGAAACATACACAGTGAGTAGTCAAAATATTTGTTTCCATAATACATGAAGTCTTTTGGTGACAGAGGGCTTGGAAGTAGAAGGTCTCTTCTAACCCAAGCCATTCCATCAGCTCACTACAAAGCTAGGTATGAAGTGTTAGCCAGTGGTTTTAATTCCCTCTATAGCGAAGGAACTTTCCAAGGACCATTGAGCTGCCTATTTTTGACACCTGTCTTTGGGTGGAATGAATGGTCCTTGAAAGGATTTCTTTGCAGAAGAAGCCTGGGAGACTGGTAAGGCCTGGATACCTTCCTCTCACATCAACAAAATAGGAATAGAAATCCTGGCTTGTGTTCCATGTGCACCACATCTGCAGCATGCATCCAAGCATACACACATCCAAGCACGTGGGCTGGCCCTGCACTGAATACCAGGAACTACAGCAGAGGCAAGCCTCAGGGTGAAATCCTGCATTGCTGTACCTTCCACTATGCCCATCCAACCCACTCAGGTTTATCAGAAAGGAGACCAAATCTCTGCCATTTCAAATTGACTTGGGCTCTGAACTTGTCAATTCCACTGGGAAACAGTGCTCTGCTGTTCTGTGTTTCCAGCGACCACAATGCTGATTCTGTTCCACTGCTGATTTGTAATATGTTTTCCTTTTCTTGTAAAAAGAAAAAAAGAGAAATGTTTTGCTTTTTACTCTGTGAGAGTTCCTGTGCTATTGCTTGCTTTCACATTTTCACTGTATTGTACTGTTACTCCTTTCTGCAAAATGGTGCTAATTGCTGACTGAGCTCCTGTTTTCTGACTGCTTTGCACACTAATCACTTGCTTCTTCATTTGCAGCACAGCCGGTGCCAAAACCTGGTGCTCATGCATTCCACAAACTCTTGCCTCTTGGAGGCAGATAGGAAGTGTCTAATTAATATTTTGTGGCCTGGGTTTGGTTGCATATCACAAATTGTCTCTTGTATACATGTTAAGCACACCTCCTTGTGGTGCTTTTTCATTGTTGATATTCTGATGAAAGTCACACACACACACACACACACACACACACACACACACACACACACACGTGCACACATTAATGTACCGCCAATTGATTGTGATGTGCTTGTGATCTTTGCTTGCTCAAAGGGTTCTTTTTCCAATGATAAATAAATGCTGAAGACAAATACCTCCTCCTTGATCTTTTTTTCTCAATCAGAAGCACAGTTAAGTGAAAGAAATGTCTGTCCAACCAAAATGAGGCTTGTGTTGCTTGGAGCTGCCACTTTCATGCCTGCTGTAGGGACAGCTGGGCTGGCACAGTCTAACTCCCTTTAGGTGGCTGCTAATCTCAGACCAGTCTGGCATGAGCTGTAAGTGTTTGCAAATGCAAAGATGGACAGTAAAGTCTTGTGGATGGTGCAAGTTTTCTCTTATTTTCTGTATAAAATATCTTTGAGTAGAGAGTCAGTGCAATGCCTTGCTCATGTCCACCTTGTCCTGGCTCAGGGAGCAGAGATCAAATCCCATTGAGAGCTGGAGGGAGGGTAGATGATGTGTATTTACCAATGTTAATTACACTTTTTTTAAACTGCCTACAGCTTTTATTTTCTCCCTAAACCAAGCCTGGAAAACTTGGTCTACTGGAAGGTGTCTCTTCCCATGGTAGGGGGTTTGGAACTAGATGGTCTTTAAGGTCCCTTGCAATCCAAACTATTCCATGATTCTATGATTTCAAAACCTCTCTTCCACCTCCTCCTCCTCTCTGTTGACATCCATGGGCCTTCCTGTTGCTAAGGGTGCTATTTCACATCCCTGCCTTGTTTACAAATCACTTTCTGAATTTATTCCATTTGTGACCACATGCTAGTAACAGTGCTGCTTTCTGATGTCCTCTCTATCACCCTGCCTTCCCTTCTCCCTTCTCCACCAGTTTCATCCATTCATGAATCACACCTATCTACAGGATTTTTGGAGTGTTTCAGCTGGGCTGCAGGTTGCAGGATTTACCATTTCACTCTGTACAGCTGGTAGTGGAGAAAATGCTCCTTTCTAAAGGATTGATTATTATTGGGGCTTATCTGTGACAATCCATGATGGGCAACAAAGTGCTTCTCCCATGACACAAAGGTACAGGGTCTTTTCCATGCTGCTGTCTTCACAGGTAATCCATCTCCTCCCTGCAGCTGCCCAAAGTGAATGCTGGAAAACACTTTTGCTGCCCTGTTGATCTCTGAACTCACTCAGCCTTGCAAAGCCCAAATGCAGAAAGGGGCGCAAGATGCATTTAAGGGAACAGTAGGACCCATCCCTGGT